TCCCCTTTGTTTTCCACTTTCCCCTGAATTTCCAACTAGAAATCGTCGGAGCAAAGCGTCAGAGATTCAAGCGGTGAGAAAGGCAAAACAAATACCTTTGTTCCTCGAGAGTGTTGCGCGTATCAATTCGTCAGGAAATAAATTCGCGAGCTGGAAAGGATTGCAATCTGGACTTGAGGCTGGACGCGAGGGTTTCACGGTAGCGTGCGAGTCGGCGTGCCGGTCCCCTGTAATCCGGTAACTCGAGGAGGGAAACCTCCTTGAAATTCCAGTTCTCCAATCTCTCCACCGAAATTCGCACCCGAAGCCCCTGGCGTGTGCAACCATCTGTTGCGCCGTAATGCCGATCTTTGAGAAATTGACTCGCATTTCTTCCAGCCGTAGTTTACGTAAAATTATTATATAAATTGTTAAACGTAACTTTACTGTACCATTGATTGAAATTTGCACGCGCCTGTGCGTAGTTGAAAAACAAAAGTTCCTTTCGATTTCACGCGAGAAGCAGACGATTTAATTACGTCCGACCCTGACTCCTTGCTCTTCGTCGTTGTTTCAACATGCAACAGTGAGGAAAGCTCGAAGCATTCACGAGCAAAAGGTTCCAAAAGGTTCCAAAGTTCTGAAATGTTATGCGACAGGTGTGGCAAAACTTTTGTGTTTTAACAATTTTTTTTTTTTTTTTTTTTCAAGTGAGCTTCGATGCGCCGCTAAATTATTTTTAGAAGATTTTTAATTTATGAGATTTATGACTCTGTTTGCTGTTGACCAAATTATTTGTATCCGGATTTATTTAACTCTCGATCGTCTCGATCAGTGCTTATTTCTTAATTTCTAATGGAGGAGAAAGCATCTATAGATATATTTTCAAACATATTTATATTATTACATATTTATATAAATTATAATAATATTTAATATTATAATAAAATTATAATATTATAAATTTTAATAATATTTAATATTATAATAAAATTATAATATTATAAATTTTAATAATATTTAATATTATAATAAAATTATAATAATATAAATTTATATATATTTATATATTTATATATTTATATTATTATTATTATATATTTGTATATTTATATTATTATCATTGTGTAACATTATGTACAAACTTTCTAAAATTTGGAAAAGCCTTAAAAGGTAGGATCTTCCAAAAATCTATCAAGTCAACGTAACAAATTTTGCTTTTGTATTGACTGAAATTCTGAAAATAATTATTTTCAGTAATTTTGCATCTTGTGTCATCCTTTTTTATTTTACTGTCAGAACTTGCTCTATGCACCGTTGTAAAATTCCCCTGCTTATTTACCACCCTATCTAGTAAAACTTCTCAAATTCGAAATTGACAGCCAAGCTGTTCTGGAAACTGAAAAGGACCAGAGTGGCAAAGACTGGGGAGTTATTTCTCGCAAGATGGCCGGTTCGAATAATGGCGCCGATTTGCTTTTGCATCGCTTTAATATTAATGTTGCGCCCCTGTCCGCGAGCCCTCGGTATTATAATAACGTCGTGTGGTCTCGGCGTTATACATATGTACATACGTATCGTCCGGGGAATTTTTTTTTTCCACTACGGGACGAAACTGTGGCTCACGTAGAACGACACTCTATGTGTATCTCGTGCATGACTGGCGAACCGGTGCAGATGCGCAGGAAGTTTAGTTAACCGCTCTATCGGACATAAATTATGCGCGCCATTAGTGTTGTTAAGTACGTACACGACTGGGTCTGCTGCTGATACCGATGGATAAAGCTATAGCCGAGCTTTTTGTCCGAGTTTATTGTATCGGATCGTATGATAAATCGTTAGCTCGCTCCTCGATGGTACAATTCTGAGAAATGAAAACTCAGGACCAGGAAAATAGATAGTTGAGGTAAACTTTTGTATGGGCTCCGTTTGAAAGATTGATCGTGGAACATTTTTGAGAAGTGAAGGATGAATTTGTTACGTCACAAGTCCTGCTGGTGAATACACGTTCTTAGAAATGGGGCAAAATAGGATTAAAAATTAAAAAATAGTTACTTACTCGATATTTGTGGCACATATACACTGAATACTGTTCGATGAATAGTGCTCGATTTTTATTCTATTCTGAAATATCTGCTCCGTGAAAATACTGTTCAAAAGTGTTCTCAATTTGTTTCCATTAAAAACAAATATTTTTTTTTTATAGGAAATATAATACAAGTTTTTTAAAAACTTAATTTCGCTCCCTGATGAAGATTACGGCATGTTGGAATAGTAAATTGTCCTTGGTTTGCTTGAATGATATATTTGAAAAAGAATGTTACAGTAGACATGTGAGCAATTAACGTGAATAAATGTGATTTAAAATAAGGATAATAAACTTCACAATAAAGCTATACAGTAATTGAAAACACTGTTCCTATAGATGATACATAACAATACGTATCGTGTAAAATAATATTAGTCGATGAATTTCATAGTAGAACAATCTACGTAAATAAATTTCTTTCGTGATGAACGTATCAAAATTTCTGTTTGAAACAAGAGTAAGTGATAAACATAAGAAACGAAAAGATACATGTGTGTCACCATGATTAAATATCACGTTAATACCACGAATTAAATTGTTACACAATTACGTGACGCAAAGGAGAGAGAACTTTCCAATTACATTTCGTTCGACACTTTGAACTTTTTGCAATTAGAAAATTTCTTAACTTCTACTCGACCAAGATTATTCGCAACATCGATTTTATTACGATCCCGTCCACGATGAAACTTCCTCGTTACTGCCACCTTTTTGTCGCCGATCAAACTGACCGCGCGAAATCTCCTCGAGTCTATCAAGCGCAGCCCATAAATATGCATCTTCTCCGCTCCGCCTAGACCAAAAAGCCGCACAAAGGATTCTCTTGCCCCGGACACCGTGCAAATAATCGATCGTCACGGTACATCGATCCCTCCTTTCCCCCGTCTTCGATCCACCATACCGCGAGGCCCGCGTTTCTTCCTCTCGAGCCACGCCATTTTTTGCGTCTCGCCGGTGGTTCACGCCGATTTTCGTCGCGATTAAACACACCGTGTGTAGCAACGCTTCTTCTAGCAACCTCTTCCTCCTCTTCTGAATATTTTCCCCTCCCTGTTCTCAAACAGTTAGGTTTTCGTTCCAGGTCGATCGTGACGCGGTGATTGTGGACGCCGGCTGTTTGTTAACCGTGCAACATAGTAGAAAAGTCGATCGACACGGCCAACTATCAATTTCACGGCTATCCCCTGTAGGCCTATATCGCTTTATCTCCAGCCGACTCTCGCCTCTTCCAGCCCACCGTCAATTCGTGGAACCAATAAAAACCCACCCGATAGAAAAATTCCTTTTCTTGAGCTTCGAGGAGGAGGACTCTGCTTGAGATAACGCACGAGGGAATGTGACGTGGTAACGAGTTCACTTTACGACCGTGACCGTCGCTGTTTCGTGGCACAATAGTCACCGTCTGACCGGTTGAACGAGGAGGTTTCGCCTGCAACATCTTCGTGATCATATGTTTTACCCTTCTGTTCGTTCCTCCCCTTTTCCTCGTGCGCGATTGCGTCGCGTAACCTAAGTGCTAAGTTGAAGTTTCGCTGGTACCAAGTCTCGTAAAAATGGCTTATCTACGTGTGTGTGTGTGTGTAGAGGACTTAACTCCATTGAAACTGAAGATATAACAGTTTAACTGAAAATATAATGTTTACAATATAACAGTTTATGGGTTTTAGGTTATTGAAACTGTTGTAATTTTGTTATAGGGAATAATTAAATTTGTGCGGTAATAAACGTGGCCTCGATATGCATTTATCCTGAATGTTTTCGCAATATGTAAATTGTCGTAGTATGTCACGGTATTGTAGAGACATGATATAGATAGATAATTTTATTTTTTCGGCTTCACAGCCATGAAAGTGGACTTGGTTTACATTTCTCTTTTTTTTCATTTTCTCTGTTTCTCTCACTCTCGTCATACTTAACAATTTAACACTAACCTATTTAACACTATACTTTTATCCTATACTTAACAATTTAATCTCGATTGTATTGTCTAACTCTAGAGATACGATAGAAATAATGAAATTTATTTAATGAAAATAATGATAATAGAACGACAAATAATTAAACGAGACAAATTACTTTAAAGCGACACGAACTAACGACTCAAATAAACTCTTTTGACAACACAATTGAAACTTTTTAACAGGTTTCTTTCAACGCTCTTTCACGACTCTGGTTTTTTTTTTTTTTTTTAAAGAGAAGCTTTGGACTTTGTCGCATCACATTTATACTTTATCATATTTCTATGATCAACAAAGACATCTGTTATATTTGAACACAACTAAAATTATAATTACAGATTAATTATAATAACCGATACTACAGTATTAAGAAATTTTCATAATTGAGCCTACGATGAATTTGAAGAGTGTAGTTCCCGCTTTGCAACGAACCCTCGAAACTTGCCTTTTGGACGATTTAAAAATCTTTGAATACCAATGTAACGATCAAAATCTTCTTGAATCTTCCTGGTATCCAGAATTCATTATATCGACACTGAGATGGCGAGAAAAAAAATCATACATTAAATTTTCTGCGGTCGTTGTAAAGAGAAGACTTCAAATCCATTGCAAATTCAGTCGTAAAAAAAAAAAAGAAAGAAATTCTTCGACGCATTAATTACAATTTACAGGACTTTCGAGAAGAGAATTATCTTCATTTATTTTAAATGAACGGTGAACATTTTTAAAGTCTGCTGTCGAACCGGCAACAAGCTCAGGTTTATTAACGAACTTTTTCTACAGAATTATAAAACATTGACTGAAATATTGAATAATGTTCATCAGTAATGTTTCACAGAGTGTCGGTCACGAAGCACAATTATTGTCGCGGTTACGGATCCGATCTAGATTACTAACTTTCGTTCAACTTTGAAGATTGACAGATTGGCCACAAAGCTTGACTAATCGAGAATTTTCTCTCCGGATTGTTTCAGGCTTCCGCGGTGACCAGTGCGAGGAGAACATTGACGACTGTCCTGGAAACTTGTGCCAGAACGGCGCAACCTGCATGGACAGGATAAACGAGTACTCGTGCCTCTGTCCACCGTCGTACACGGGCACGCAGTGCGAGCTGGACGTCGACGAGTGTTCGGTCCGGCCTTCGTTGTGCCATAACGGCGCCACGTGCACCAATTCACCCGGTAGTTATTCGTGCATATGCGTGAACGGCTGGACCGGGCCCGACTGCAGCGTCAACATCGACGACTGTGCAGGCGCTGCCTGCTTCAACGGCGCAACCTGCATCGACCGCGTCGGTAGCTTCTACTGTCAGTGCACATACGGCAAGACGGGTGAGTTTCATCGTCGATTCAACAAACAAGTTGAAACTGAAGTTTGAAGGAAGAATGACTGAAGTTTCACTCGAGGGAAGATATTGTGCCGGTATTGCGCGTTCAACTTTTGTACTCTGCGTGGCAATTTCTTTTCTCTTGTGCGAGCTTCGACACAAAATAGTTAATAAATAGAGCAAACGTACAAGGACATTAGACAAAGACGAAATTTGGAGTAAGACTAACTCTAATAAATAATCACGAAATGCTACACTCCTGGCGTAGTTGAAGATACACCACCGTGTAAAGTGTTGGCTAGGTCGTCGAGCAGGTTCATTTTCTGCGCTTTGATTCTTATTTCTCGAATATTTTCTTTTCGAAGTGATTCTTTGATCGAATAACCGGTTTAACACCTTGTTGAAAAGAAAATGAAGAGAGATACAATTTTTTTTTATCTGTCTGTTCCTTTCATTAAAAGAAAGAAAGAAAAAGAAAATGATCTGACCGATTACAGCAGGAATAGGTAGGACAATTCGTTAAACTCCTGCGCTGGCAACTGGTTTCGCGGACCATAACGAGTGACCGAACCGTAATGACCGAACAGTAATTCGTCGCATTCTGTTTCTTTTGAACTACGTCGGTGCGATATCACTGGATAGAAATGATTAAAGAGTAACTAAACTTATCGTTTGTTTCGTCTTGCATTTAAATACGCTTGAAACTGAGAAAAATGTTGCAATTTGGGACAAAAGAATTCTCCACGTGCGTCGTTCCAACGCTACATACTCCTCGTCGTAAAACGTTCGCGAGTTTTCCACCAATTGGCTACCACCAGTTGCCAAGATCAGGATGGTAGGATCCCGAAGACGGCGCGCCCGATAAAGAAGACAAACACGGCGGCGCAAGTTGCGGAGAGGAATGAAGCGGGGCGGCGTGAGGCACACGCCTCCCGCCCTTCCGCGAGAGGGCCAATGTACGCGGAATCGTGTCGGTATTATGCATAGCGAGAGCATCGGCATCAGCGAGGTAGGCAGGTGCATCTGCACGTGCAACAATATGATGGCCAGGCCTCTCCGAGGGCCCGTTGGAATCCCGGGATTCCGGGAGGCTGGTGTGTGTTGCGCGCAGCCTAGCCTTACCGAGGCGGCGACCTTGACGACTGAAAACGAGTTTCTGTCCTTTCTGTACTTCTTCGCCTGGCGGACTCGGGAGAAGCCGGGTGGTGCAGCGACGACCGAGCTTTTCAGATCGATCGTTGCGCGTCCGCGTCCGCGCCGATCGCCAAATACAGGCATCTCCCTTCTTTTGTCACGGTGTGATCGCGCGATCGCCCTCAAGGCGGTACCGATCAAGCGTAGCCCCGATCGTCGAGCAACTGCTTTTTTCGGCTAGCCGCGCGCCCCGAGAGATGCCGGTGGACGAAACGATTTCGGAAAGGGGGCCCAGGCCGAACCGACTCGTCGGGACACATCGAAGAAACGTCGGGACATTTTTCACTCTTGGTATTCGATATCCGTCGTAATCAAAGTAATCAAATTTTTGTAGTCGCGACCGATTTCTCAAACGATCCCGATGAGCTATCTTTGTAATTCTCGCGGATAATCGATTCTATAGTTTAGCACAGAAATTTCACAATTTTTCAAACGATCTCGATCAATTCGTCTTACGATTCTTATTGATAATGAAAGTCTCAAGTTACACTGTATTTCGAGTGTGAATACTCGAGTTGCAGTGTATTTTGGTAAATGAAATTTAATTTTCCAGTTTTTCGAAAGATCTTGGCCAAACAACTCTCGTGGATAATCAAATTCTTAAGTGTATCCACGTGTACTTTGCAATACAAATTTTCCAATTTTTCAAACGATCTCGATTAATTCGTCTTACGGTTCTCATGGATAATGAAAGTCTTAAGTTACACTGTATTTCGAGTGTGAATACTCGAGTTGCAGTGTATTTTGGTAAATGGAATTTAATTTTCCAGTTTTTCGAAAGATCTTGGCCAAACAACTCTCGTGGATAATCAAATTCTTAAGTGTATCCACGTGTACTTTGCAATGCAAATTTTCCAATTTTTCAAACAATCTCGATCAGTTCGTCTTACTATTCTCATGGATAATGAAATTCTCAAGTTACACTGTATTTCGAGTGTAAATACTCAAGTTGCAGT